TAATAAAATGCCAGGGTGCAATGCTATTAGTAGTAGAATGATCATGCTGAGAGACATAGGAATGTCGCAGTTATAAGGAATCTGGCAATGAATAGATAGGAGGGAGATGGATTCTTCAACTAGAGTCATCTTTCCCTCAGATCCTGAGAAAAGAGCTGACTCCGGTCCAGAGGGCGCTACCCTTTTCTTCCAATCTCCAAGGTCAAAGTCATCCATGTCCCAATCGTTGCCTGCCCAAGAGAAGGCAGCGGTAGGTTGGAGGAGGAGCTGGCGTTTGCAGAGAGGGGGGTGGACTTCGAAGGGTGTTAGCACCCGATTGACGAGGAAGGAAAGGAAGGAGGGGAGAGGGAAGAGGGAAGAGGGAAGAGGACTTATGCAAGATCAGAGTGACGAGCGTTGACTATTATCGGTGGAGGAAGGAATCTATGAAGAGGTGTGTTGGTGTCCTCGTCTGAGATGGGGGGAAGAAAGAAGATACATACGGATGAAGAGAGTGACAAAGAAGACGATCTTCCTTCGCCCAACCTCACCTCCTTTCGGCTCTTTTTCATTCTACCCGTTAACGTGGAGGTAGAGGCTGCTTTCGATGCTCACAAGATTGGTGAGGATGAAGTAGTAATAGCCTTCTCTGCGGGTGCAGACTTCTCCCTCGCAGAACCTGTCTTCTTTGGGTTGGTTGAAGTGGTCTTCGCTGGAGCCGGAGCCGTCTTCACCGGATTTGAGATTGGGTTCGCAGGCGGCTGGAGTGATATCCACCGGTATTGAAATTGACGCTTTGTGAATTGCTGGTATGGGTGGAATCACAGGCGTTGGAGTAGGAATTACAGTCCGCTGGGTTCCTTTCCGGTATGATATTACTTGGAAGCCATCGTTATTGTCAGCGTCTCCTGTGGATCAAAGTGTAAGTGCTGATACAGAGAGAAAAGGGAGATCAGAAAAAGGAGTACGAGAGCGAACGTACCTCCTCTCCTCCTACAAAATCTATACTTGAGGTGCTCATCGCGCTTATCGTCTCAGAAGCCTTGGCGTCCTCCGTGTCGGGAATGGAGGCGATACTGATCTAGTAGGTATTGGTATCGTCAATGGTGGGAGTAGGAGCCTTGCTGGTGTCGACGGTTTCCGTAATGGCAAAGATGGGAGTGATCTCGGCAACCGCGCTGATCTCGTTGGCAGCAGTCATCTCGCTGGTGGTGTCGAGTTCACAGATGGTGACATCCTCAACCTTGACTTCAGTGTCGACGACGACTTCGACCTCAGCGCTGGCTACCTGGGCTTCCTCATTGACATCAACGAGAATCGACTGTTTCTCGCTGAAAGCGTCTCCGTCCTCGTCCAATTCGTCTTTAGCATCTACACACTCCTCCGCTTCCTCAAATTCAATGCACTACAAACCATATCAAATCAGCACCACCCAGAGATACAAAGAAGAAGAAAAAAGACGTGCCTCACATTCAGAAATAGAAGCCAAGCCATGCGCTTGGGCGTTGAGGGGACTTGAACGAGATGCTCTTCGTCTTTGGTGGTGGTTGTGATGGTGGTGGCGATGGTAGCGGCGATCAGGGAGGTGGTAGTGGTGCTGTCCTGGGGATTAGTGGCGGTTTGCTCTATGATCTCGTCTGTGGTGATGGTAATAGCGACCTGGTTTGTCGGTCTTTTTTGCTGCCCTGCTCCTCAATATCTACAAGAGTCGTTATAACACACAGTTCAAATAGCCCACGAAAGAGTAGGTTCACCGCGCCAAGAGCGACGAGCAGGTAGATGGGGGTACGTCTGCATGAGAAAACCTGTAGCAGCACCGATAGGTAGACTTGCGAGAGGGGTCTTCATTGAGCATGGACCTGCTCTTGGATGCCGTCGTCAAAGAAGGATGCTGCTAGAGTTCAGTTGGTCAAACACATCAGCTCCTTTACTTCTGGCACCTCCACCTCGAAGAACGACAAGGTGGATGGGAGGCACGGGATGAGGAGCATATCAAAGTGCTTAGTGGCGATAGGCTTGGTGGGGGTGTGGACAGGGTAAGGTCGGGGTGGAGACATGATGAAGAAGGACCACGGGACTCGTAAATGAAAGAGTTACAACCGCAGAGGAAGAGGAAGGAGGAAGGGCGAGGGTGGTGGAAAGGGAGGGAAGTGCGGCGGTGATAGTCACTGGAACACTCTCTATGATACCTAAAACTATATTCACATCGGATGACCAGTGGATCTTCTTCTCGAAGTACCCAGAAACGACATCGTCGAGGAAGCCTAACGGGACAGTGGCCGTAAATATGCCGCCGATAAAGTAGGTTTCGAGGAGGAAAGTAAGCGACATGCTGAGTGCCGGTGTGGAGTGTGGAGGGAGAGAGGATCGGCCGCGGACCAAAGAAATCAAGAAGCGTGATGCAGGGGGCGGGGGTACGCAGCAAAATGTGGCAAAGCAAGAAAATCGGGATATGCATGCGCAAATCCGTATATATACCTCCTAGCAACGTAATTAACAAAGTCACGCAGTGACTTCTGCGAGACGCGTCGTGGCATGGACCTGGATGCGTTAAGCAGGTGAGGTTAGGGCTTCCGCTTCGGGGTCCTCCTTCCTCCTCCCGCTCCCCTCCTGCTCGTTTTCGTTATCCTCTGGACAGCAGCTGAAAAGACAGGCGAGTATCCAAAAACCCCCAACCCCATGCGATGCTGCGATGTGAAGAAGTTTGATTTGGTATTCTCGACCGCTTTAGGAACGATGCTTCGATATTGGGATGGCAGCTGTCGGAGGGGCGAATCCGCAGGGGGTAGATGGCCACAAGGCCGTTGTTGAGGCGCTTGTTAGACGCTCATCCCTTTCGTCTATACTGCAGTCAAATAGATGTTTTTCCTCCTCCTGCCCTTTGAGTGCCTATGAGCTGCTAGGCAGAACAATTCGGCTGTTATCCTGCTCGATGACGGCAAACCAAGGCTTCACTTGAACGTTAAATAGGTCGTGCTATTCAGCAGCAACGGATCGTATCCTATACTAGGCACGCTATTTACAACGCACACGTTATAGACTCTGCGAATAATCACCTTCCCGCAGGTGTCACGCTGAAAGTTGGTATCGCTCATTCCTCGAGTACAGCATTGCAAAACCTAACCTATGCAGAATATTGTTAGCTCCGTCCGATGAAGAAGAGGAATATGGGGGACCTACTATCCGATATACGACATCCAGTATACTCTTCTCATTTCATCTACATTCACACAACCCATTCATCCCGTTCATTTTCCAGTCCAGTCTGTTTGATTACTTCCATCCCTTTTGAGGATTGGTTGTTAGATCCTCCACCGACGAATGCTTATTGAATCCTCCGTTACGCCTTCTTCCTCCTCGGTTCGTTCAGCGTAAGGTACAGCTGTACGCTATTCATTCTCCCCTTGACAATGAAGACGTCGATCTACTCTGCCTCTGTTCATCAAGCCACCACCAAAAAGCGGCGCGCATATAACCCCTGCCAAATCCGCCGCACACCACAGTTGTTGATGCAAGGTAAATATCATCCATTCTGCTCGTACGGCTGAACAACACGATATCTAAACCCTACGCACAGGTCGCCAATCAGGTTTGCTCTTCTGAAGAGGAGCAGGAGAACTCACGGATTACATATACTTACTATCGTGGTACGAGCCCATTGCCTCGTGCTGTACACGTACTCAACCCTCCTTACCTTTCGCATAGTCCGCTAGAATACCAGCCCAAACGGAGCATTTCGCCTCTCCTGCCCCCGACACCCGTATTCAGAGGCTCATTTCTCAGGCAAGAAGCGTATCCAGACTCCTCTTATTACGCTGTAGCTTGTCAAAAAGTCGAAGGTGAAGATTTCGACGTAGTCAAACTCAAGTAGAAAACATACTCTGTCTTGGCTAGAAATTATTTCTCGAGCAGGCCAATGAATCATTGTCCACTTAAGAGGTTGGATCATCAAATCAATCCCCCCAGTTGGACATGATTGATGACGAACGTCCACGACATGGGCGCATCCAGAAAACTCGATGTTCGCGCCCGCGTGGGTCGATACTTGTGGGCTGCTGTATGTCTCGGGCTTCATTGAACGTTCGACTTTGGCTTTCGTTGAAATCTGGGTCTCGGCTGTCCTGAGTGCATTTTTCCTTGATAGTCTTTCCGTCGAGTAGCCAGTCTTTACTTCAGTGTCAGGGAGTGATGATATTATCCACAGCACTACAGCAGCTACGATAAAATCCACGCTGTTCACATCATTACTCACAACCGTGAAAAAAGAACAAAACGAGGTACTCACTAATCTACGTACTACCCGCATCTCTTCCACCCAGTATAGGCTTCCCGACATTCTTTGTCTAGTATCTCTCTTCGCCCTGGATTTACGAGTCTCCGCTGACCACGCACGGAGGATTATGCATAGAATCCAACAGCCCCAAGACCTACTATGCCTATCCTATCCTGGATCGTCGAGCTGCTTGAGTTTTGCCGGTGTAGAACCTATTCATTGAGCCTTTCGTGTTCATTGTCTGATACTACATTCGAGCGTGTCATTCATGACTGATTCTTTGGTGCCGAGTTCGACGTTGAGACGGAGGTGGGAGGTATTGATACAATCTACGTGCTCAAGACTTCAAGAACTCCATGTAACCATTTGATCCGTAAAAAGTTCCCCAAAGGCTTCTGTTGAGGTGCTCTTTCCCTGTTGAGAAGCATACCAGGATGAGTTGAAGTTGAAGTTTTTTTGGAGTTCTGTTCGAGCATTGTTCAGGTTGTCCCAGGCGGTTATTTGTTAGTGTCCTCGAGATCAAACATCGCGTTAATGTATTCTACTGCCCTAGATTGAATCTACATTCGACGCCCACTCAACTTTCTCTCTCTCTTCATAACCGTCAAATATCATTCAGTGAAAATAGAAACCCTAATCCAAACTAATCTAAATAAAATACCAATATATGTATAGAGGAATAAAATGAGAAATGGCCATTGTCGACAAGCGCAAAAAGTAAATTCTGGCGTACCACCTACATAATATATGGGACCACCGCGGATCGAATGCGGGGCCTTTAGAATGTATTTTACAACCAATGCTTCAGTCTACTGCTCTCTCAACTGAGCTATGATCCCATGGGGACGGAGGCATTTCCGGGACGGTATGGCTAGGACGAATGGTTCTGAGTTCCGCGTCATCTAAGATGCTCCTCGCGGCAAAGTTGTGTATACTCCCATCATGTCTTCGGGCTGTACATAGGTAAATAACTTCAAATGAAAACAGGGAAGAAACGAGAGAGCTATAGTGCTCAAAAAGAGGGGTCTCTTGAACCATCAAAATTTCGGTAACACATGGTCTTTCTACTTTTTCGATTTTGCTGAATGCATTATTTCGTTTTGTTTTTTTCCCACACTACAAGGATACGCGCGAGATGGCTATTCAAAAATTCGAGGGTTTGTAATGGGTTCGAGAGCGTGAGCAAGGGAAGTGTCGGCTCCAAAAGGACTGCTTGTCTGCGACTCTCAGCTTTCAGGCCAAGCCACAGGCATCAAATTACTTTCTAGAGATTGGCTAAAGATTTATTGCAGTTGACTGGATGGTAATACTAACTTAAAATCACTGTAGTTATAGGAAGAAGGTCAATTTATTTCATATCTAGTAACTACAATACAAATAATCTACCCAGAAATGCTCAGTGAATGGAAGAAAAGAAAGACAACCTATAGGAGGAAGGTCCAGTTGAATAATAAACAGGAGGTAAACTCCCGGATCACGTCTTCCTTTTATTCCGCTTCTTGCTACTCTGCTTATTAGCACCTCCATCATTTCTTCCCATCTTCCCTGCCTTTTTGTTTACCACTCGTTGCAATGCACGCTTGGTCTCCCCGTTGGGAAAGCTGCTCAGATCAAAGTAATTTCCGGAAAATTCAATGAGCCTACAGGGATTGGGAGAAACTAATGAGTTGCGAGCTTGCGTCTGAATTAGAGTGGAGAAAGAAGCTTACCATTCGGGGTGGACCTCCGAAACAGTAAGAATATACGGGCATGTGGTAAGAACAAACTCATTAAAGATGACCCACTCTGGTTGGGTGCCCAGGCCACAGGACGGGTGCAGAGCAACAACCTGAACGTCATGTCAGCTACATGCAAAACGTAGTAACTGATAGAAACACGCCTGATTATCCTTGACGGTGAGATAGTTGCCCTTATCACCCTCCTTGTGCGCAACCTGCATGAAGAAACCGCACACCAGAGCTTGTCTGATGTTCTGGTATAGCTTCTTTTCATCAGAGAGCGAGATGAGGTCGATATCGAAACGCTCCATGATACTTTTTAATTGGGTGCGGATATTATCAGCCTGCTGCAGGGCATGCTGGGATAAGTAGTGTTGCCAAGTCCAGTTCTTGTCGTACTGGTCTAAAGGAAGAAGTCTTAAACTATCTAATCTAGGGAATACTTAATAAGAGACGTACTTTGCACATATTGGTTGTAAACATTCAAGAGAGTCAAATGATCACCATCCGGAACAGTGAGAAGCGCTTTCGCAGCGTCAGCCTCCCTCCGTTGGTTATTGGGACGTAACCACACATTAGGTACTATCAGAAAGGCATAAGCGTCTGCACCATGAAAGCATCGGTCCGTTAAGGGTAAGAAAGCGTACCTGACATCATAGCAGTGATCGTCAACATCTCATTGCTGCATTTGAACTCGGGACTGACGATCAGCATCTTTGCTAGCTAAAGAGTAGTGTTAACATCCTATAAACTAAAAGAAATAACCAGCGATGTACCTGAGGATCGAGAGGGAATTCAGCCATGATAGCACCTAGTGCAGTGAGGTTTCCATCATCATCAAGAGCTGCAAGGTAGTTGAGTAACTCCAGAGCACGCATTAGCGCTTCTGGTGCTGGCACATCAATGTAGTCAAATCGGACGAGATCCTAATACCAAAAGATATTAGTGTCCAGCTATCAACAGGAAGAATAAAAAAACACTGAATACTGACCTTGATACCCAGTTTAACCAGTTGGAGCACAGTACTACTCAAATTACTCCTCAGAATCTCCGGAAATGTCCCCTCTTCTAACTCATTTTTAAAATCTTTTTCCGTATACAGCCGGAAACATTTCCCGGATCTTGTACGACCCGCATGACTTGCTCTCTGCTGTGCCGATGCCCTCGATATTGGGCTTACCAGCAAACTCTCGACGCGTATACGTGGGTTGTACACCTTCTGTTCCGAGACTCCAGGATCGACTACATACACGATACCGTTAATCGTGAGCGAATTTTCAGCAATATTTGTTGACACAACGACTTTGCGACCAGTAGGGCCATTCGGTGTACGCGGTCCAGGCGCAGAGTCGAATATGCGCTGCTGTTGTTGTGGCGGAAGGGATGAGTAGAAGGGTATACAAACGAGCGGTCCAATAGAATCTGGATTTTGGTTGAGGAGGTCATCAGCTTCTAGCTTTATTTTTCTGCACGCATTTTCGATCTCTTCTTCTCCCGTGAGGAAGAGCAGGATATCTCCCTGATCTTCTGCCCGGTGGATCATGAGCACCGTCCGGATTGCAGCCTCGACATAGTCGAACTCAGGCTCCTGTGTGTAGAACACCTCGATGGGATGTGTACTACGTGGCACCTTGAACAGTGGCACTTTAACATCCGATCGGAGGTTAAAGTATTTCTGGAACTTGAGTGCGTTGAGCGTCGCAGCCATGACGATAATTTTGAGATCGGGGCGCTTCCTGGCGATGTTTTTGAGCAGGCTCATGAGAATATCGGTCGCAAGCGTGCGTTGGTGTACTTCGTCGAGGATGATGGTGGAGTAGCGTTCGAGGGTTGGGTCGTTCATGGCTTCACGCAAAAGCATATCGTCAGTAAGGTAATTCAGGAATGTGGTTCCAAGTTCAGTCATATCTTCGAAACGGATCGAGTATCCAACCTGGCGACCGAGTTGAACTGCACAAACATCGACGTTAGTCAATATACATGTGCGGGTTTTAACGCACCATCCAACTCATCCGCTACGCGCTTAGCCACAGACATGGCAGCGACATGTTCTGGTTGTGTACACGCTACTACTTTGCCTTTTATATGCGGCAGATCTGAGTATGCCACTAATTGGGGTATCCTGCATAATCTTTATAGTACTTATCACTACTTTAAGAATGAGCACGCACTGCGTAGTTTTTCCAGATCCTGTCTCTCCAATGATGACGATAATTTGATGTTCTGAGAACTGGCAAAGACACCATCAGCATAAGCGCTTCGAGAGAGCATGGCAGCACGACAAGGAGGAGCAGACTTCACCTAAAAGATTACAGAAATTGTAACCCCCTTCTAGTCGTAGACTCAGCGCACGACGTACCATTTTCAGAAACTCGTCCATCTGTGCGTATATCGGCAATTTCTTACGGGCTTCCAGTAGAGTTTTGTACTGCTTTGAGTACGGCTGCTTCGTAAAAGGGTTTGTATCATACTCCTAGAATTTTAGCAAGGTAAAAATGTGAAAAGGAAGCACTCTAAACGTAAATTATACCAGTGCTGTCCGAACTTGCGGGCCCGTAACTTTTCGCGGTAGAAAGCCATTTAATGGTTGTTTTTCGGTAGGATTCGACTTTGAGGATCCTAAATCGCGTTCACGAAGCTTTCTGTGAGTGAGATACGGGTTATCTGTCATGATTTGAAGGCGTTGTGGCGGTTGAGAAGCAAGGTATTATCTGTGAGTTCCCCCACTATGACATGCCTTAAAAGGCAATTCTGACAACGCAAATCACGAGATACTTCTCCCCGTGCCTTCATACTGTTGTATCCAGTTTACATTACTGTTGGAGAAGAGCATGATACAGCACCCTTCCCATTCATTTCTGCGTGGGTAATCTCACTCGACAAGAGCTTCTCATGTCGGGAAGAGCTGCTCGAACAAGCTCAGGACTTCTAGTACATCAACCTCGAGCACATCGACCCAGAGCTCATCCAGCAATTGCTCCTTCTCGATGACAATGGCCCCAAAGCAACGAGCAATGTCTCCAACTCAAGACGAATATTCGCCTCGACTAGCATCGATACTTTGTCGAATGGTCGTCGACCTCAAACATACGGACGCATGCATCCTCTTGCGCCTGCCACGCCAATAATTGTCGACAAGCAACACCCACGTCTTAATGAGTCTCTCTCCACCGTCTAGCACCTCTACCCCATCGAGCGCCTCCCAGTTGCTGAGTAGCACCGCCATATCCAATACCTTCCTGTCGACGGACTCTTTCCTCGCAACGAGCACCTCCACGTCGCAGAGCACCAACTCTTCGGGCTCTGCTTCCACGGGTATGTCTTCCAACCCTCGAGGCGCCGCGTCGATGAACAGCATACACAGCACGTCGTAAACCCAGATAATGAGCTTGATACCCAAGTTCCCTCATCTAGACGATGGAGCATCTTGCTGTGACGACAGAGGGGCCATAGGTCCTAAAAGTGCAAGCAAACAAAGGAGGGAGGAAGGTGAGGAGTGAAGAACATACCATACAGATTGGCGGTACCAGCAGAGCTCTTATGCAGTCGCGCAGTCCTCAATGATGCAAGTGAAAGGTAGCGGTTGGAGGAAGACGCGGGTAGAGGACGGATCTGCTGGAAGGAAAGTGTCAGTTATTGGTGAAGGAGGGCACGACGGATGAGAATAGGGATGAAGACGGGTGCAGGAGAAGAGAGTGACCGACGACTTGTGTGCGAATCACGAAGAAGTGAGAAGCGAGGGCAGAGGGCTGGGATGGAGGAGGATGAGGCAGAATGAGACGGGACGGGAAGGAACCAGGGCAGGAAAGGAGGAAAGGGCGACACGAAGCGACCACCCACTAGTCCAACGCCTACGGCGAATGAGGACGTCATAAATCCTTGCAGCACTACTAGGTTTGGATTGGCCTTGTGTAAGGAAGTTGAACGAAGGTGGACGTGCGCGCCGGATCATGTATATTGTACACCAGAAGCTGGGTACAATTTACGGGAAGGTAAGAGAGATGGACATGTACTGAGCACCCTCAATAGGGGGTCGGACATTGGGACGCGGAGAAGGAACATAGGATTTAGATAGATGTACCTTGTACATATTAGAAGAGTCACCACGACAATTAGTACAG